GTTAAGTATAAAGAAACTGGCTCAGACACAGCATCAGTGCTGGGGCAACAACTCAGAGCGCAGACAAAGGGTTGGCTGTGCCGGCATCTCTGCATTCCAGTGCTCATGTGATGGACACATGGAAAGGCCATCTTTTCTGTATCTGTTTTCAGACATTAAACATTCTCTGCCCAGTATCTATAAGTCATTACTGAGTGTCTGGTGTGGGTATCATTTCTTTTAATGTACTATAGCCCGAGCGGGGAGCACAGGGCTCCTTCTAGGAGTGACACTCGGCCTCTCTCTCCGGGAGCTCATTACTGCATAGAAAGATAAGGCACAGGTTTGGTAACTGGGCAGCAGAACATCTGAGTAGCAATGCGAGAGCCGATGGGAAAGAGGCTGAAGCAGCTCACGAGGGTCTGTCCAGTGGAGATGAAAGCAGTCACTTAGGCCCTTGGGAGGAGGGACTAGCTTACAGGAGGAACAGAATTCAAGCCAGGCAAATTTTGAAGACAGAGTAAAATAAGGAATAGTGCGAAATACAACACTTTACCTATGCAAGCATTTAATGAAGAAATAAATCAAAAGATCAGAGTAGTAATCCACAAGGATATGATCACGTGGGCGACCGCAGAGGCGGAACACTGAATCCTGTCAGGCAGAAGATGGGCTCCGTGGGGGCCTGGTGGGAAAAGAGGCAGGGGAGGGAGGTAAAGATCAGAAGGTGGGAGGTGGGAAATGCCTTTCCCCAGCGGGGGCGGGAGGGAAACAGAAGGTTCTGGAAGAGAGCGTAAAACAATCTAAGAGCTATGGGCAGGATGCGAGAAGAAAAATAACAGTTCCGCGTCCTACAATTTAGAAATTAATCACACACTAGGGAATTTTTTTTTCTAAAAAGAGAACAGCTTCCTATCGTTTTCTTTTTTAAAAATCTATGTACACCAGTCACATAAAAGAAACACATAATGCCTTCTACACCACAGCGGAAGGAATCTGTCCCCAAAGGTCCTTCCTTTGTATAAATCATGCCACCACAATCGACGCTTCAATAAAAATGAATATTTATGAAATGTAAAATGACTTGGATTAACTTATTCCAATTTCACCCTCTAAATTTAGATTTTTTTTTTTAAATCACGCCAAAATGTAGATTTTGATTACAAAAGCAAGTTGGGGGAAATATATATACTTGACAAGAAAAAGAGAGCAATTTTTTTTTAAGTTGAAGTATGACAAAGGATGACAGAAAGGTGGCTGTTTGGGCTAAAAACAGCAGAGACCATTTTCAAAGTAGCTGTTTAATTCAACAACAAAGCCACATTAGACAAAGCAAGTTGTTTAAAACAACACAAATTGTAAAAGCTGAGACGGCCCCACCATCCTCATGTCGAGGCACAGCCCAAACCCAGCCTTTCCTTTCCCAGCTTTCTTGGGCTCTGGACTGTTAGCCTGCTCCTTGTCCACATGAGAGATAGCATGCAGATCTGCCCTGGCCTTTGCAGCTACTATACCTTGGCCATCTCTCTGTTCCTAGAGACGTTCCATCTTTTACGCCTGCATGCTGCATCCTTGAGGCTGAACTCTGTCACTCATTTAGCTAGCCCCTGATGACGGGCACCTGTGACACTTCCAATCTCTGTCTGCTGCAGATGAAGCTCCAGCGAACAGCCTGGTGCTGTCCTCATTTGGCGTGTGTGTGAGCAAATCTGGAAGGCAAATTCCCAGAAATTGAATTCCTGAGTTTGAAGGTAAATGTGCATTTAAATTTTTGGTAGATGCAGCCAAGTTGCCTTCCATAAGAGTGGAGCCGGCTGACACCCTCTCACAACATACAAGAGTGCATGCTTCTCTCTTTTTTAACCGACAGAATGGATCATTGTTTCTGGATTTTTGCCAGTCTGAAAAAATGAAAACCGGTATTTGCATTTTCCTCACTGAGTGAACTTGAACATTTTTATATGTTTAAGGACAACTTATACTTTCTTTGGGGATAAAGTGTTCAAAACATCTGCCTGATTTGTAATCACTGTGGCATTTTTCTTACAAACTTCTAGACGATTCTGGTCTATTGGGGAAACTAGTCCTTGCCTTTGGTACATGCTGCTGTACTCTGGGCTGTCGTCTGGCTTTGCTTGTGTGATTTTTGTCATACAGAAGACTATTCTAAAGATTTTTTTAAATGTGTATTGGTGTTTCTCTCCATGTAAGTCTGTGCACTGTGTAAGTGCAGGGCCTCCAGAGGCCAGAAGAAGGTGTCAGGTCCCTTGGAACTGGAATTGCAAACCTTCATGCGTCACCATGTGGGTGCTGGCAACTGAACCTAGGTCCACTGGAAGAGGAGCAAGTACTCTTAATTACTGAGCCATCTCTCTGGCCCCACACAGACATTTCACCCAATCTAGTTACCAGTCTCTTGATTTTCTAGCTGTGGATGACCTTCCTCATGCTACAATTATGAAGAAATTCTCCTTTTTTTTACACTCATTAGTTCACTTTTTGCTCTTTACTAAAGACACCAAGTATGGTGTTATCTGCTGGTAATCCCAGCATTCAAGAGACTGCAGCAGGAAGATTGCTGAGAGTTCAAAGCCAGCTTGGGTTAAACAATAAATTCAAAACCAACCTGGGATGCACATTAAGACTATGTAAAAAACAGAATATACACGTGCATTTATACATACCTACATGGGAAAACAGCAGTTATATCAGAAAATATAGAACATAGCCCCACTGTGTAAGTTAACATGGATAAGTTATCTGACCTCACTAGCCTGTTTCCACATCCATACTGGGAATAATGCATCATCACATTATTGTGAAAACAAAATGTATTAATGTGGTTTTCTATGGTATCTGGTGTGGAGCTATTATCATTCTTCCTGCTTGGGGTTTACCTTTTTTTTTTTTTTAAGTGTAATGACTAGAAATACCATCAGTCTAACTCCACATATCTCCCTAGCCGTCCCAATACCACAGAGCTGAGATGCCCCTTTGACCATACATCCTATTCCTGTATGTGTCTTCTTGCTTCATTCGTACATCTTTTATCATCTTGTCAGATGGCACGCTACCACAAAAGCAATAACCAGTTACCCAAGCCAGCCTGCTCATGTTTCCATCCATTCCATATAGCCCAGAGGAAAAGAAACATTAAAAAGGCTTGAAGGTTGGAAATTTACCTCCTTGCAAAATTGTCCATCTACTACTAGGCTGCAGATGGCAAGGTTAGCTCCAAAAGCATTTGATGGTAATTTACACTTGGGACTAGGCAATCCTAAACAGGCAGTAGGCCTTGTCATCTAAAAGGGAGGTACACTGGCCACAGAATATTTGAGAGAATCGAGTACAGGTAACAACTGACTTAGATGGATGATACAAAGACATGAGGAGGGTTGAAGTTGCACTGCAGAAGAATATAACTTTCGAACTACGAACATGAAGTCCGTAACTTTCAAAATCATGGTCACCAAAATTCATAATCTAAAGTGAGGCACACTGTTGCTGGAACTGAAGGCAACCCTAATCAAATTCTCCAGGCTCCCTTGTTCTCAGTTAATTACTTTAGACCCCTCCCTCCTGGAAACACTTCAGCCTGCCACATACCTGGGAGACATGACATAAGATGGCTGCCCATGTTCCCCTTTTACCTGAATTCTAAAAAAAAAAAAAAAAAATCACTAATTTTGGAGGCTGTGCAGCTGGGTAACATACTAGACGTCTCCCCCCTATATTTGCTGCTGATAACCCCTGTAATATGTAGCCTGTGACTGTCGCTGTACTGCTGGTTCAAAGAAAACTCAGTACCGCGACCTCCAAGTTGTACTAAACTACATTTCTACTCTGTGTGGGCACCTAAGAACGTTTGTTTGAAGTGAGAAGCACAAGGTTAATGGCTTGGCAAAATCTCCTAGCTCTCCCCTCCCCCTTCAAGTCGGAAGAGATCAAGATAAGGTATTTTCACTGCCCACAGAAGTATTCAGTGGCTTTGAGATTCTGTGCCAGGTCAACAGATCACCAGCCACAAGTTTATGATGCCCCGCTCCAAACTACAGAGAGATGCCTAGAAGCCTACAGTGATCTGTCATCCCCTAACCTAAACCCCTCTCCCTGACCCCCCTCTGTCTGAAGATAAAAGGAGCCTGAAAAATCTGTCAAGACAGTTACCGCTATCTTCTTCTGGTTTTGCTGGGTTACCAAATAAATCTTTCTCTTTGTCCCCAAACATTCTCAAAATATTCAGGTTCCGTCCCAAGTGGGAAGTAAATGAATTTGGATTCTGTCTGTACAAGGGACAGTGAGGACCTGTCAGGGATGAATACTCCCAAGATCGGGGACTAGAAAGATTACAATGGGGCTGACAAGGTGGTTCAGCAAAAAATGCGCTTACCAGCAAGAGCTACAAACTAAATTCAACTCTTGGGTCCTAAGTGGTGCAAGGAGAAAACAGAGTCACACAGGTAATCAGCTGATCTTCCCACGAGAACCTGGAGCTTAAGTGAGCACACACAGACACCTCCTAGAGGCCTCATCCACAGAACAAGGCGTTCCTGCAAACGGAGGAAACAACCCAGCAAGCTCTTCGAGTTAACTAGAAACTGGGGAGGATTCCTGCAACCGGCTCTGACTTAAAATTCCACTTCAAAACCTAAGTCCGCAACGTTCGGTCTCCCTCCAGCGCTTCTAGGAACAGGCACAGCCTGGCGCTCCAAGAGGCCTTGGTTAGAAGGAAGACGAAGGCTGGGTTCCCACTGCACTCTTCCCAACCACAAAAACAGAGCTGCAGGCCTAGATTCTTTCACAGAGAGACTCAAACAAAGAGAAGCGCGCAGGCAGGAGACTACCCCGCTGAGCTCCCGCCCCTCCCGGGTGTTGGGGGGGCACGCGGGGGAGGGGGAAATGTGCCTCTTCGCGCACGCGCAAACCTAAACCTAGGACCCGCCCGAGGTCCCGCACGGCTTCTTCCGGGAGGGCGCAATGCGTAGGCTCAGCGCGCATGCTCGGAGCCCGTGCCGCCTTACCAGCTACGGTGATCGGCTCCGTGCGTCCCGGCAAGGATTCCTCCGCGCTGATGACCTTCGAGGCTGCGTCCCCCATCTTCCGTACCGGGATGGAGCTGGAGAGGAGCTGGAGAGCCTTTTTGGAGGCGGAGAGCATGGGCGGCGTGTCCGATCTGCAGGGCCGACCTCCAGGCCTGGCTGTCAGTGAGGGACAAAGTTCCCAGAGTACGAGAAGCGGCGCGGGCCAAAAATTACACTGGCTACGCGCCACCGCTGAGTGTTAAAAGTTCCTGCCGTTTCCCCACCTCCGCAGGCGGTTTTCCGGGTGCGGTGTACTCACTCAACCGGAAAGCAGAAAAGGGAAATCAGTGTGTGTGCGTAAAAAGGCAGCCCTCTAGAAGAAAGGCAGACTTAAAAGAAGGCGGGTGGATGGACAGCTAGGAAATGTGTCTGTTTCTACTGGAACCATCTTGATTAAGTCGAATCGACCAGAAGTGAAATCTCAACACCACAAAGGATCAAGTACTCAACTTGAAATATATATACATATGGAAATACGTACATATAAATACATTCTTCCGCCCATCTCACGGTCCATAAAATAGACGGTGCGGGCACAAAGACATTGTTAGCGCTGTTCAGGTGAAGTTAATGGTGAAGTCGGATCAGACTTAATTCTGAAATCATGAGAGAGCATATCCCTAGAAGAAATCTCCAGTCTTAGTCTTCAGGTGGCTAGGGCCAGATGAGTTATTTGAGAGGTCTATGAGATTTGGGTTTATACAGTCTGCCAAAATGGGCGGATAGTATCGCATGAAGGAAGGAATAGAGGATTAGCACCCACAGGGTTTTGAAGCTTTGAACCTAAGCTCCTCCGTGGTTTTAGTTACCTCTCTGTGTTCATGTGGGACTATGATATAAGGACAGGGGGATTAGCATACTCCGTAGAACATTGCCAGACACACCACGTCAAACAGATTAAGGTGTTTACTTTACAATATAGAAGTCCCCTGGGCAAACTTGGATCAACAGTTTACTCTCAGTTTGTTGTTTGCTGTGAAATTATGCCAAGCAAGTTCTTTCCACAAGGCCTTGCCTGAAAGCATCCCAAGGTGTCCCTTTCCAGGCTTAAAGGGGGTCCTGGTCACTAAAGAAAAAAAAATGCTGTCAAAGAAAATATTTTGTACTTCTAATTTACTGCCTTTTGATGTACACTGACTTGCTTTTTCTGTTTTGTGGTTGATGGAACACGGGAAATATGCAAGAAATACTGTGTAACTAAATACTGTAGAACGGAAAGAAGATTCTGTAACCTTAATGGAAACTGCTTATGTAATGCAAGGTACCCCAGAACCACAGTCCATGAATATTTAGATGTTTAAAAGATGTGTGCATTTCTACTTACCTACTAAGGGAAAATGAGCTATAAATAAATAAATAGATAGATAGATAGATAGATAGATAGATAGATAGATAGATAGATGGATAGATAAATGCAATGTTTAGAGTTTTATTGTTCAAAGTTACAGGATTCTACTAAAGTTTCTCTCCTGCCTTGTGGTCCTAGAAACCCAACTCAGAACATCAGTCTTGCTGTTGGTGGCAGGCACCTCTACCTGATGAGCCATCTCTCTGGAGCCACTTTAAACATTTTTAAGTGTGCTGTGTACATTGTTTAAACGTTCTCAATGGTTGTGCTACACTCATGAAAACACATGGTTTCTTTTTTTTTTTTTTTTTTTTTTTTTTAGGAAAAGAGTATCTCGGTTTCTTTAAAGTTTCCTTTGTACAATGGTTTCTCACCTCATTTAGCAAAATAGCTGTGTTAACTGAGTTGTTTCTTTTCTTGTTTGTTCATTGACAGAGTCTCTCTGTGTAGCCCTGGCTTACATGGAATGCTCGGAGACTCACCTTCCTCTGCCTCCCAAATTCTGGATTAAAGCTGTGGCCACCATACCTAATCTCTGAGTTTTGTTTTTAGAGGAGAGAAATGCTATTTTCAAGACTAGGCTTTACGTTCCTTCAAATTCTCCAGTCACTTCCTTCCTTCAAATTTACTGACACATGCTGATGTAATCACACTCAGGCTTTCTGTCAAATTCCAATAATTTATACCCTTCAAGACACAGTCTACACATTGGGACAACAAAAAAATCTAAAACTACAACTCATTCAAAAAGATAGATTATTTCTCTTAAGTGTCAGAGCCTAGAAGAAGAGTCCCACTAAGCAGGACCCTGAGTCTTCTTCCGTTGTGAGTGGGCTTTAAAGAGAGCTCAGTCATGTTTTCTTTCTGGGATGTTAGTCTAGACTCAGAACCCACATAAAAATGCTGGGCATGTTAGCATAGCTTGTTGTAACTGAGGGCAAAGTGAAACCACCAACCTGGACCACTCTATGGGTAGAATGAAAGGTTTATTGGCAATCAAACTAACCAAGGGTGTCTTGGAGTGGGGCAGAGGGTCAAGCAAACTATGGGAAAAAGCAAGCAGATTTCATATGACAGCAGGGTGAGGATCTTTTAGCTGTATATGTGCTATCTAGGAATTGATTAGGAACTAGGTGCCTTTGCCTGAGGCAGTTGACATTGGGGGAAGATTAAAGATGGTTCCTGGTAAACAGAAACCTCATTAGGAGATCTGATTTTCTAGTAAACAGAAACCTGCCTTTAAGCTTGTCTCCGTAGTAACAATCCTTCTGTTTACCCCACCAAAGTCCTTCTGTAAGACAGTGCCACAATTTTGGGGTACCACTTGGGACCTAACATTTGTAATCCTAGCATTGAAGAGGCAAAAACAGGAAGATCCCTGAGGCTGTCTACCTAGTCAAATTAGCCTAGTTGGTGAGCTCCAGGCCAGGAGGACCTACCTCAGAAATATATACATACATATGTACACACATACATTCAAAAATAAAATGAATTAAACGGCACACCTGAGGAATGAAGAAATGATATCTGGTGTTGATCTCTGAACTCCACAAGCATACAACCAAATGAACGTGGACACACTCAACAGGGGCAGCAAGCATGATGGTGCAGGCCTATAATTCCAATATTTGGGAAGCAGAGGTGCCTTAGCTAGGGTTTCATTGCTGTGAAGAGACACCATGACCAACACAGGTCTTATAAAGAAAAGCACTTAATTGGGACTGGCTTACAGTTTCAGAAGTTTAGTCCATTGTCATGACGGTGGGAAGCATGACAGCATCTAGGCAGACATGGTGCTGGAGAGGTGCCTGAGAGTTCTACATTGGGATCACAGGCAGCAGAAAGGGATTGGAGTCCACACTGGGCAGAGCTTGAGCATAGAAGAGCTCAAAGCCTGTCCACCCACCCCAACACACACACACATGCACAGTGACACACTTCCCCCAACACGGCCACACCTACTCCAGCAAAGCCACACTTCCTAGTAGTGCCACTCCACGGGCCAAACACCTGAGTTTATGGGGGCCATATCTATTCAAACCATGACAGAGGGCAAGAGGATTAGGAATATAAGGCCAGCCTCTGCTATACCATGAGTTTGAGGCCAGCCTGGCCTACGTGAGCTCTGTATCCAAACCAGAAAACAACAAAAACCCTATGGAAGAAGTCACCACACAAAGACACTTTGATCTAGCATGGATTAAGAAGTTGACTGTTATCTAAATTGGGTATACTACTTCCCTAATGAAAGCATACTTGTTTCTTGATCACCAATGTCACTGTTCGGCTGTTTCACTTTAATATGCATTCCTGTTACTACTACCCATAGATTCTGCTAGAGCCTTGGTTTAGAAGGAAGCTGTGTCCCACCACAGACAGGTCAAGCATCTGTGGGGTCACTCACATGAAGGGCTCAGGACTTCCAAAGAGGAAAATGCCACTGACTCAGAAAAGGTGCTCAAGAGCCAACATGTGTCAGACATTTAGCTGTCACCTTTACTCTTTATTAAATTGTAAATATGGCACGGGTACACTCACATAGATAAGGTTTCACTTACCTCGGTAGAGAGACACCCTTATAAATGAATAAAAAAAAAAGCTTAAGTGACATTTACATTTGCATACTTATAACCAAGTGGCTTCATATACGGCCTGTCTCCAGAAGATACAAAGCTGTCTGGAGAATTTAATTAATTGCATGGATTATTTTTACTGAATTTTTAAGAGGAGAATGAAATAAGAATAGCCTTCATTACAAAACAGGGAGCTCCTGATAGTACTGCATGCTTTATTTTTAAACTTCACTCCAACCCATTTTCAAATTTTTGTAGGTGAAGAAACTCAGGCTCAGAAAGATGCCCAAACAAACAGCTACTTAAGGGAGAGAACCTGGATTCAAATCTGAGCTGTCCCAAGATCCAAGTTCAAGGTTACAGCTTTAAAAAAAAAAAAAAAAAATCAGGGTGGACTGAGCAGACGCATATATAAATGCCTCAACTCTTCAACACTGACTGTGTGGTTTGGATGTGAGTAGAACACAGAATGGAGTGATTTGGGTAAAAGGTAGGACCCCCACGCCCTTCAGGGTCCTTCCCAAGACACACACATGTGTCTCCCAGCGTTTTTTTCACCTCTTGTTGGGACACCACCAGAGCCACCTGGCTCTAGTTGGGCCTATCCATCCAGGTGAGAATGACAAGGTGTGGCCTTGGGATGAAGGGACAATCGCAGAGGAGAGGTGTGGTTCTGTCAGCTCCCTTAACTTAGAGGCAGGCACACATTCCCCTTCTAATCTGTGTCCTTGCCTGGTGGCTGACATGGAACTGTGAGAACCAGAGCTCAGCAACCAGTGGACTCCCAAGATTCGGATGCAAGAAGGGCAGCATTGAGGAACCTCTCTGGACCCCTCTGTAGAGAGAATGACTGCTCCTCAGTCTCCCTCCTGCTCCAAGCCAGACGGGTCTCCAATGTGCTCATACACCAGGAGCCTTTCCTGCCAAGATCCTAGGGGCATGCTTAAGGATTTTAATAGCTGCAGCAAAACCTCATTTTAGAATATGTATCATCATCAATCATCACCATCACTAGTTTTATGAGACAGGGTTTCTCTGTGTAGCCCTGGCTGTCCTGGAATTCACTCTGTAGATCAGCTTGGCCTTAAATTCAGAGATTCTACCTGCTTCTGACTCCCAAATGCTGGGATTAAAAGTGTGCACCACCACCGACTAGCTAGAAGATTTATTATTTGTGTGTGTGTGTGTGTGTGTGTGTGTGTGTGCATTACCTGTGTGGATGTATGTGTATCATATGGGTACGGGTGCCCATGTAGACCAGAGGGATCAGATCTCCTGGAACTGGAGTTACAGG